GGAGGGGCTTTGTAGAAAACGAAGCGTTTGAGAGAGGCGGGGCATAGAGGACCTACAATAATGTACAGTATTTGAAAAATAATGTGTTTTTTGAACATTAAAGCACGTCAACATATTCTGTTACACCAAATACACAAAATAATGATATTTAAAAAAAGCATCATATGACCCCTTTAAATCTGATGACTTCTCAGCCCCCTGTGACATGATAGAATAGTGAAGTAATTGCCATGTTTAAGCAGTAAATTAATTTGGCGAGTAAAGCATTTTTGTTTAATAAATATTGTGTATTCACCATTCTACTACATGTTGCATACTCACTTCTCGCCACCTACTGGCGGAACGATGTATCCTGCACAAAGAGTCGCTGAACAAATCAGAACAAACCTTTGGTGAAAGGATTCAAACGATTCGAATCGCTGAGATTAAAACAAATGTGCTTGCGCATTCTTGATTGGGACATGGACATAAATTATTATGCACAGACTGCCAAAACACAAGAGGAAAGCATCAGTCTTCCTGACCTCTACTCGACATCCCACTGTTCTCTTAAAGCACTCAAGTCAAAAATAAGCACCTGGTTTGTAGGCCAAGGCAAAAACAGAACTTTCCATTTCTAATATAAGCCTAAATATGAGCCATGTAAGGTTAAGCGTATGTTTAAAGACATCAAACGCGTTCAATTGTGTCTGTCACCGTGTGTGAACGCACCTCACATATCTAATAGCAGCTGTCAACATTAATAGCCAAGGCTTGAAATTCATTTTCTATTCGCGTCCGCGCCGACAGTAGTGCAGGTCGGGACACACACTGCGTCAAAAAAGTTGCACGTTACGATACAGAAATCCAAATCTAGCACGGGATATCTGAAAGGCGAACATGAGCTTCATAACCGAAGCCCTTAACACAGTCCCACACCGGACTGAGTCTTGCTTGCTTGCTTATTCGGCAAAAAACGTGCGGGGGGACAAACGTGTGCAAGGTTAAGCCCAAAGAAAACTGCTTTCTGTAAGAATTAAACTATTTAGACTCTGGCTTGTAACCGAGCCAAATTCCCTCAAAGTCTGCTGTATTGTTCTCAGAGAAAGCGACTTTTCCTGTTTGAAAACTCACACAATATTCTTGGGTACGTCTGGTGTACGTGGCGAGGAATTGAAATCGGTTTGACATTTCGATGCTGGCGCGAAATCGAGCTTGAACGCCGTAAACGTCAACTTTATTTCGCTACATAGTGTGATGCTGCTGACTTCGACCGTCTCAAACAGGATACAGAGGCAATCTCTGGTTCAGCCCCCTAAAAATGAGAACATACTCGGTTATGTTTTAGCTACCGCTCGGCTAATAAACATCCGCCGTTTGGAAAGTCCCGGTTAAGTTTTCTCCCGCATCTCTACGACGCTATCATTCTAGCATCTGCCACAATATAGCTCGACTAAATTCGCCGCAGTCCGGCTTATCGAGCTTCTCCGCTGCAGCGAACAGGAGGGGGAGGAGGGTGACAAAGTTGCCGCAGTTTAGAGTTGTGTCTACGGGGCAAGATTCCACCATTCACCTCCTCTTCCACTAAACTAGCCCCGCTTCGGTTTTCTCTTACCTTGAGCACCGGGAGAAGAACGGTGACAATTTTTTTCGGAGGTAGCGCTCTGGAAAGGTAAACTACTCAGTCGCGTTTGACTTTTTGAGGTTGAAGAGAGCAGCTCTCAGCAGGGTCCTCGCTAGTTCCTTCTCTCACCCCCTCCCTTGCGCCGCAAGATCAAACCATCACATTCCTTCTCTAGATCCAAACAATGAAAAAGGTGGGTTTTCCTTTGCCAAGAAAGACCCACCCCTAGAACGACTACGCCGCCTGTGACCGCAGAAAGAACGCCCTGCGCGGCAAAACGGTCCCGCCTTCCCCGATGAAGGAAAGAGCGACGGGTCACACAAGCGCTGAGCTCTAGAGGAAGATTGAAGAATAACTGGAAACCCAGTTCACAAATAGAGCAATACTTTTTTTTTTTTTTTTTTTTTAGCACAACAGTTAATAGAGGTGTTAAAATAAGTAACATAAAATTTTATACAAATCAAATAAAATGTATATTTGTGGTATGGAATTGTACCGGCAGGAATTGTAGGTGGGGGGAGTGAATGTACAGCGCTCTCTCCCGCCTTCAATACCACGACTGAGGTGCCCTTGACCAAGGCACCGAACCCCCAACTGCTCCCCGGGCGCCGCAGCATAAATGGCTGCCCACTGCTCCGGGTGTGTGTTCACGGTTTGTGTGTGTTCACTGCTGTGTGTGTGCACTTTGGATGGGTTAAATGCAGAGCACTAATTCTGAGTATGGGTCACCATACTTGGCCACATGTCACGTCACTTTAAAAAAAAAAAAAAGATGTATAGTGGATAACACAAACAGGGAGGCTAAATAAAAACAGCATGACAACGGCGATATTCTCTGCACAGGTGAGCAATAATCCATTCCACTGTCAGGCAATAGCATAAGCATTAATAACAATAACATTTACGTTTCTTGTAGCATACTATTGAAACTTTTTTTTCACTAAAATGTTTTAATGATAAATAATTTAATTAAATTATAATTACATGAATTAGTGCACCATGCCAGATAAATATATTAACATAACCACCCAGGCATAATGTTACGACAACAACCACAATAATAATAATTATTAGGCTATTACATTTAACTTTACTCAAAGTCATATCTTCAATATTACCTGTTTTGTGTAAAAATGTATACGTACATGTTTTTATGTATATATATTTATGTATTATTTGTTGTGCTTGCAAAGCAAAGAAAATGTATTTGTAAGGCAACAGTACAGTAGAGGGCTAAAATAAACATATTTCCAATAACAGATAGCCTATAGAATGGCATGATATTAGATGTCTCACTTAAACACTTTCACAAAAGTAGTGGTCAGAAATAGTTCAAGCGCTGCTGAAAAGGCAGCAGTCCAATAGAATGTTGACTTTCTTTGGGTGTCAAAAGCAGGATATGAACCAGCATCTGATTGCTGGTTTACAGCCTCAGCCCACAAGCTACCACCAAATCACAAACACCATTATATTTTTTAGCACCAACACTGTTTTAGGTTGCATTCTTTTTACTCTTCTACATTAGAGTAATTACAAAGCAATGCATTGCGGTTTCTCATTAGAAAACCAACTTTTTTGGTAGATGTTGAGATGAGAGAAGGAGTGACAGTATTTTTTTTCAATGGTGAATTCAGTGCAACATTTATATCCACTACAAATGCACACAGTCTGGTTTTTGGTCCAAAAAGAACTGAAAACATTTAATTATGAGAGCAAGAGTATGTTAGTGTGGTGGCCAAGTTTCGTCTTAGTTCTGCAATTTACTATATAAGTATTTAGTAAACTCAGTGAACCAGGCACATTTAGTATTATTATAACATGAAAAGTGTATATAAACAAGTAAAAGCTGCCCACCATGGTAAGGCAAACACCCTCAGCCTGCAGTCCACAACCAGACTCTAAGCTGTCATGGCTGGAATTTATAGGTCCATGTATTGTATATGGACTGACAACTAGAATAATGAATAGGTTTTGTTTCTCTGTTTATTTCTTTGTTTGTTTCTTTGAAATAAGATAAGAGTCACTCAAGTCATGGCAAATGTTTATGTATCAAGTCAGTAGACATCAATGAACCAGGCTCACTTCATTACAGTCCAAGCTTCATATATACTCTGTTCATGGCAGTTAAAATTACTCTTTCTCTAGTGGCAGTGATCCTGAATAAGCACATGGCAGGAATAAAATTCTAAAAACAGCCTAGTGGCCTCTGAGTGGCTGAAGTGTAACCAGCCGATAGTTACACCTGCCGTAGTCAAGGATAATCTTCACTGACTTTGATTTGCCTGTTTTAGGAAAATGATTATGTATTTGTCAAATAACAGCATTTTTATATCTGTATTGTATGGAATTATATCTCTAACTGCCTTTACTTCATGTTGCAAGCATCAGACATTAGGTTTGCAGGGATGCCTTATAAGATACAACAATACTCAGTGATGACTACTTCAGAAAGGTTTGAACCAATTTTAAAATAAATTACTAGCAAAATATGTATCTATGAAGATAATATAGCAATATTTTCCATAGCTTTTTCCATATGCACATCTGAACACCTTTATTTTTGGTTATGAGTTTGAATGTCAAGGAATAAAGCACAAGTGGCTTTCAGATCTCTCACTCCTACACAAGCTGTCATCAGTTAAATCAAACAAAGTCCTTCACTCTTTAATTATTTTTGTATAAGGCCACTGCATGTCACAGCAGGAAAAGCTGTAGGTGGGGAGAACACCACAAGCTCACACTGTTTGGTGAACGGTGAGCTAAATATATGGGAAAATATGCTCTTACATAACATTCTAGACACTGTTTCATATGACCACCCCAGTTATTTAGGTTATTGCCTTGCACAGAAGAATATACACAGTTAGTATGTTTTATGCTTTGCTTGCAAGGTGGAATTACTTTGTATAAATAAAATGAACGATGTATGGAGATCACAAACAAAATATCTTTTCGTTCGTTTTTTTTTTTTACATAATTGTAAATATTTTTTTCAGTGCATTCATTTGTATCCCAAAAAATCAGTTAAATCCTTCTGATGTTAAAGCATTTAAAAGTACAGCCTCAGCCATGTGAAATGCATGCTACAAAAGCATGGCATGCTGGGGCATGCTCAGGTATCAGTGTGTCACAACAGGACAGAGAGGTTTTGAGTATTCTGTCTCTTTCTCTCTTTCTCTTGTGCTGGTATATTTTTCAATCTCTCCCACATTCAAATGCGGGGTTGCAGATGCTAGGAGAAGAGATTTATATTGAGCAAAATATAATCATGCTTCATCTCGTTTTTTTTTTTTTTTTTTTACTTAGGCACTTATACAAATTGTTTTATCTTTAGTGCAGAGTTGTGAATAATCCATAATACCTGAAAACTCGGAGAAGCCTCTAGGCATATTAACACTCTCAGCCAATTAGAATCTAGAGTGAGAACAGACATAAGACGCCTCGTCATGTCTTTCTCTATTGTCAAAGGTGCAGTCCCGAGACATTAACAAGCCGTGTTGTTATGTCATCTAACTGCGAGGAGATGTATAGTATGCAGTGAAAGGTGTTTCAGCTTCTTTTGGTATGTGGCTCAGTCTATCCTTTGGGCTGCAGGCCAACATTCCCCATGGGTGCATTTGCCCCATCTCTTTCCCAGATTCCATCTGCAGGATCTGCCCTCTGTAAGGAATGATTGAAGTTTTAAGAAATGCGATGAAAATTATGGTGTGTTGCCCAGACAGAGTGCATTTTAAAAGTAATCACTCAAAAGTGATATAGTTCTTGAGTTATGTGGAATTCCAATTGTTATTACTAATAAAACGATTACGAGCGAGATACAGAATGTTGCTGATATTGAGTAACTTGCATTAACTTTTTGAATCAAAATTGAGTTTGAGCTGAAAAAATTACACTATTGCCTTCTGTGAAGCTGCTCATAGCTGAAATGAACTTGTTTCATAATTGGTCAACTTTGCAACATTAACATTAAACTGAGCTGAACTGAATAATGACACTGTCTTCTGTAGAGCTGCTTTACATCTGAAGTTTTTATTTTACACTGTTTTTATTTTCTTATTATTAATGTGATGCTGCTTTGAAATAATCTATACTGTATAAAGTGTTACATAAATAAATGTGACTTGTCATTTAGACACACTATTGCTGGTTACTTCACAGCAGAATAAAATGTATGCATCTCAGGGCAACACGCAGTACTGGTTTCATTCCAGAATGAATCAGTGACTCACTCATAAAGACATTCACCAGCTTCCGGTGTAACAATGAAACCTGCCATTGGATTATATCAGCAGGGTTGAAACAGTGAGTTATGATTATGAACTTCATAGGAAACAATGCCATTTAGAGATCTTTGCAAGCATGCAGGCCCACATTTATTCAACAGGACACAAATTCCTCATTTGCTGAAATGCCATAAAACTACATCTAAGACACCCTTTCGTTATTCTGATTCTGTGCCACCCAAGTGTAAAGTTCTTAACATAAAAAAATATATATATATATTTTCAGAGACCCTAAAAACCACAGTGAGAACGTTTCATAAAGATGGCTCATAGATAAGAGCGTGAAGTGTAATTTTTATTGTGCCCTGTGGTTTGTTCTGCTCCATCAGTATGTTTCTCATCTCTGTTGCAGGCAGTGCTACCCATTATAACAGCAGTTTGGTTGAGACTATCGTTAACCTTAATCCAGGATTTAGCCTTTGGCTCCATCAGGACTAGGACTGTGTGTTTGTTGTTAAAGTTAATATCTATTAAAACTAAATTAGCATTGCATGAGGCAACTCACTTTAACCATAAACTCAAGTATTTTTCCACCCTTCTTTTTTTAATTTTATTTATGAGCTTTCTTTTCGTTCGTTTTTTTTTTTTTACATAATTGTAAATATTTTTTTCAGTGCATTCATTTGTATCCCAAAAAATCAGTTAAATCCTTCTGATGTTAAAGCATTTGAAAGTACAGCCTCAGCCATGTGAAATGCATGCTACAAAAGCATGGCATGCTGGGGCATGCTCAGGTATCAGTGTGTCACAACAGGACAGAGAGGTTTTGAGTATTCTGTCTCTTTCTCTCTTTCTCTTGTGCTGGTATATTTTTCAATCTCTCCCACATTCAAATGCGGGGTTGCAGATGCTAGGAGAAGAGATTTATATTGAGCAAAATATAATCATGCTTCATCTCGTTTTTTTTTTTTTTTTTTTACTTAGGCACTTATACAAATTGTTTTATCTTTAGTGCAGAGTTGTGAATAATCCATAATACCTGAAAACTCGGA